GCCAGCAGGAAAGGGAACCTGGGGGTACTAGTGGCATCCATTGCATACTGCATATACCTTCCCTCTGCCCTTCGTCCTTTCTAACAGGTCAGGGTTGGGCCAAGCTGGCCTCAGGAGAACCCTCTGTCTAGAATCCAACCATTGAACCTCCCCCCTCTCACATCCAGCCTCCCCAGTTTAGCCCAGCCACACCCTGTCTCCCATCAGGATTGCCACAGTGATTGCTTAGGCCTGTGTCTCTCCCAGCCCCTGCACTCTGTGCTCCACTCAGTGGCAGGGGGATCCTGAATATGAGGCAGAATGTCTCTCTTGTGCTCAAGTTTCTGCTTGCCATCACAGTTTGGAGCCAGAGTCCAAGTCCTTCCAGGGCTCCAGAGCTCTGTCACATGCCCCATGCTCCTTCCTCTCTCCTGCTTTGCTGACCCTCCTGCACAAGTCAGACGCTCTCGACTCTGGGCCTTTGCGCTGGCAAATCGATCCATCTGGAACATTCTTTGTCATTAGGCATTCCAGCCTTCCCTCCCAAGGCTCAGATGTTCCTCTCTGGAAGTCCTCCCTGCCCATCTAACTTATAATTTGCAATTGAAAGCGATCCCCCAAATATCTTACCCCACAGCACTATTGCTTTCTACCACATCGCAAAACTTGTTTGTTGTTTTTACTGCCTCCCATCATGCTCCCCAGGGCAGGATCTGTTTGTCCCCGTGTGTCCTCCCCTAGAAGTACCTGGCAGGAAGCAGGTGCTGACAAATCTATCTCAGCAACTTGTACTGGCTGAGGGAGATGCTGCCAGGGAGGGATAGCTGGGGACTTCTGGAAAGTCTTCTAGACTGATCTTTGGCATCCCCCAATGGACACAGCAGAGGTATGGCTGCTTTCCCCCTGGTCTTGGCTGACCTCACCCATTCCCCTCAGCCTTGCCTCTGAGCCTCTGCCCCAGGATGCCCCTTCCTCTGGTAAGCCCTTCTGGGCTGGACTTATATTGTCAGAAATGAAAGAGTGTCTTCACACCCACCCTGAAGCCCTACAGCCCAGCTCACAAGCCCTCACCCTCAGTCTCCCTGCTCACCCTAGCCTTCCTGAGCTAGCAATGGGGCATTTCCCAACATTCTGGCCTACCTGGAGCCTAGGGCTGCAGCCCACCCTCTGCCCCAGTGCCTACCATCCTTCAACCTGCCTGAGGAGAGCCCCAGAACACCCAGATACAAGACTAACACACCCTTGACTGAGGCCAACAGGGGTCTAGGCCAGCCTGGAACTCGAAGAGTAGAGCAGTGGGCACAGTGTGGCTAAGGGCTTCCTGAAGGGGGTGGGTGGTGTTGGGGGCAGTAGAGTAGCCCAGTTAGTGCTCCTGAAATCTCCCCACCATGGGGTAGGGCTGGGGATGTGCGTGTATGTGTGGTGTTATCATAGAGGAAATCGATGCTTGGCACCGGCCCAGTGTTTAAGGGAAATGAATAGATTTTGGCCGAGGACAAAGAGAGTTTGATTAATCAGAAATTGGATAATGGAGGCAACACTCTAATTATTTTTCTTCCCAGCATTTTATCGAGAAATATGTTTGCACAGCATATCAGAAGTAACACAGCGGGGGGAAGGGGGTGATCATGCTGGAAGAAAGCCCAGCTCAGGGACAGGGCCACCACACCCATACTCGCCTAAGGGGCTGGATGGCAGGCCAGCTGGGATCCTGGTGGTCACTCCATGGGGCCATAGGAAGCAAGAGGGGACAGGTAGCGCAGGCCAGAGGCCACACAAGCTGGGGCAGCTAGGTAAGAGGATATGCTCTGCAGGAGTTGTGGGGGGGGGGGGCGGGGGAGAGGTTAAGCCACCAGTCACCATCAGAGACAGGTATCTCATGTGGAGACTGTTAATTTCCTGGCCCGGCCACCTCTAGGTGACCCTGTCTGGCCCACAGTTCACTGGCACTGTGGCTGGAAGAGTGGGGGTAGGGGCACTACCAGCTCAACCAGAGCTTGCTGGAGTCAGGGTGAAAGCTGTACATGTCAGGTCCCCCAATGCTCAGGCAAGAAGGGTCTTCAGGGGTCCTCTTGGCTTGAAGAGTTTTCCCCCCATCTTTATCCGAGGTGAGCCATTGCATGGCTTAGGTCAGATAGGCCATGGACCCCTGAAAGACACAGAGCCTGGCCAGGGCTTACACACTATGCCTCCCTTCATCACTCTCCTGCCCTGTTCTCACTCCTAAACATCTACAGCCCAAACAATACAGTTTAGCATGTTTCTGTGGTCATCGGGTCTCCCAATTCTAGGCAGATTTCTTGGAGCTCTAAGTTGGAGCAGAGCTTAGCATGAGGCTTCAGCCTTGCTGAGTGGTTGAGTCTGTGTCTCTCTGATTCACTTGCTCTGTCATTCACTCATTCATTCCAGCGTAAACAGAGAGGCTGCCATGAAACATTCAACCGTGACTTGTGTTAGCCATTAGACTTGGGATGGCAGCTGAGGAAGCACTGAAGAGGGAGTAGGAGTCCAGGAAGAAGCAGCGTATAAGTACAGATGAAAGATGAGCTGAAGCTACGAGGAAAGAGTGAGGCATGGTAGGTGGGGTTGGCCACAACTGGCAAGCATGTCTAAATCCCGCATCCTGTTTCCACAGCACATATCACTAATCAACCTTGGCCACTTTTCTCCTGAGCCACAACTTCTCAACGCAGTGTGCATGGGATGTTCACTCCAGAGTTAGTATAAGAAATGAAAACTGGGCCTCCCTGGTGGTGCAGTGGTTGAGCGCTGGGTGCGAAGCTGCCCACAGCCTCTGCAGCACTGGTTTGAACCCCGGCCACGGGCAAGGGTCCCACATGGCACGCAGACCTCTCCTGCCGCCCGCTGCTCCCCTCAGCAGTGTACTTCGGTCCTTCTGCCTGCTCTGCTCCTCGCTCTGGCTCTGGTGAATTTTCTCACCCTCCCGCGCTTCTGACTGTACCCAGTGCTTGTATAAATAAATAAATATTAAAAAAAAAAAAAAGAAATGAAAACTGCCTGCACCCTGATCCAGCCCAGGGTTTCCCATGTAGAAAACTCCAAGGCCCAGAGAATGAAGAGGCTTCACCAGGGTTTCTATTACAGGCAGAGCAAGGACTAGAATCCAGGTCTTCTAACTTCCTGTTCAATGTTCTTTCCTCTACACTGAGCTGCCCTGATAAGCTAATCTCTGGGAACAGGGGCCACTCAGTTGTCACATGGCCACTGTGGGTACTATTTCCTTTATTGCCACTAGAACCTCATCTTGCCCTCATATGTCAGAGCTATGTGAATCCTCTGCATCTGATCTAGGCCTCACTGAATCACACCATGTCACTGAGGGGCCAGGTGTCAACCTGAGGTTCCAATTCCCGGAGGCAGGGACCTGCGTCTGTGAGGACAGCAGAGAAGATGGGCAGCCCATCTGAATGGATGACGAATGAATGGATGACGGTTCTGCTTGACGGCTGCTCAGTCAGTGGTGTCCACCATGCATGAGTGGTTTGTGTCTGGCAGTCAATCTAAGGCCTGAGACACATCACTTGAGACCCAAAGGCACATCCTCCCAGGAGCAGCACCTCTCCAATATGAAGGCTACAGCCAGCAGGAAGCCCAGAGCACCCGCATGGAAGTGGCTCAATACATTATGGTGGGACATATGCTTCACAGTCATTTCCTGAGTTGCTACTGTGGGCCAGGCTGGGCTCCGGGGACTGGATTCTCGGCTGTGAACAGTGGATGAAGGTCTTGACCTCATAGAGCTTATGTTCAGATCCAGGAGGGAGATGGTGAGCAAACAAAATAAATAAAAGAAGTAGGTTATACTATAATGGGTGCTAAGGGGAAAACAGAGGCAAGGAGGCTACAGGAAACGTGTGGGTGGGAACACAGGTGCTGTTCTAGAGAGAGGGCCCAGACAGGCCTCGCCTGAAATGAAAATACAGAACTAGAAGGTCTGAAGACCCTTTGCCAGGACAAGGATATATGTGGGCCCCATGTGGGAACCGTTGGTGAGAAGAGTAGTGGTGAGTGAGTCCTGTCCCTCCAGAGAAAAGGACAAGGCCTTGCTGCAGTTCACCAACCCTGCCAGAACAGGGCCAGCACCTAAGAACTGACAACAGCTACCACTCAATCAGCCTCCAGCATGGCAGGCCCAGGCAGCCTTCTGGTGCACCCTTCCCAGTGACTACCCAAGCAGATGGTGATCACCCAGGCTACCCTACCTACTGAGAACAAAGTCCTGAGGGATCCTGAATGCCCTCCCTGTAGCTAGCAAGTCCCTCGGGAGAGCCACCCCCATCTCCTCAGGTCTCAGTCTCCTCAACCGTAAAATGGAGGTAGAGATTGCATTTGTCCTCCTGCAAATGCCTTATCTGGGCTCTGGAGGTAATGTAAATGTCAAGTCCATTCTCCTCCACTCCAACCCCATGTCTCTGATCTCCACAATTCACAGGGGCAGGCATCACTGAAGGGGTCAGGGCTCAGGTCCAGCCCCATGGCCAGCTCCCGCTCCACACAGGGAACTGTACCCCCAGCTCCCTATCCCAAGGGCAGGGGCCAGGGCTGTGCAGGGGGGCAGCCTTCTGAAGGTTTGCACTGACCAGAGCCTGTGGTCATGACCCCAGGCATGGCGGGTGTGGACAAGCCCTCCAGGATGGGTGTGTTTCTGGTGAGAGGCTGCTAGAAGGAAGGCTGGGTTTGACACTGTAAGGCCCCTCCCTGCACCACGGCTTTTAACAGTCTCACTTCTTAGCACTTTTTGATGGATTCTCCAGGGACATCTCTAAAGAGAGTTATACCTTAATTTAGAAGCAAATAACTCAAAACTCTGTGATGTAGCAGGTTTCTTTGGAAAAGAGACGAATTCAAGGAAGCCATTGTGTGTGAAGCCGCCCGCCTCGCTCACCCAGGGCTTGCCAAGAGGAGTGCTCAGCCCTTAACCCTGGAGCTGTGCTCCTGCCAAGAGGCCTGAGGCCTGCGGGGGGTCAAGGCATACAGGGGGGGATAGAAGCAACACTCACAGGAAGCCTGGGTGAGGGTCACAGGCGGGCTCTGAATAGTCCGAGGTGCCAAACACAGACCACCTGCCAAAGAGAAGGGAATGGTGGGGAGATTGTACTGTCTTCACAGCCTGCTTCCCAAGTGTGGCCACCGGCAGCCACATAGAGCCCCATGTCTGGCTGAATGCTCTGCTGTTGGCCTTGAAATGTTTAATAATTTTATTTATTTATTTATTTAAAGATTTAATTATTTATACAAGAACCGAGGTACAGGCCAGATGTGCGGGAGGGTGAGAGGATTCACCAGAGACAGAACAGGGAACAGAACAGGCAGACTGACGAAATACACTGCTGAGGGGAGCAGCGGGCACAACAGGAGAGGTCTGCAGCGCCATGTGGGACCCTTGCCGGCCGGCTGGGATTGAACCGGGCACTGCAGAGGCTGCGGACAGCTTCACAGCGTGGCATTCAACCACCTGCGCCACCAGGGGAGGTCCTGTTTAATAATTTTAAAGAAGAGGCCCCACAAATTATGTCACTGCTCCTGCCCATGTTGCTTAATCCCCATGGACCCCCCGCCCCCGCCCACTGTAGTGGCCCACTGTCCTGGGGGTACCCTCTTCTGCAGCCCCAGGTCACTATCACAACTCTGCTCTCATCTCACTTGCTTGTCAGTCCTCCATCTCTTTTTTGGGTGCTTCTTCTCAGATCACATTCTGAGTCATCCAGGCCCCAAGGCTCAGTCCAATTGCATCTGGTCCCACAAACCTGGTGCTGAGGACTCCAGGTTTCTGCCTCCAGTCTTGCTCTCCCCTCTGACTGCCACAATTGCCTGTATCTACCAAAGTCTAACCCAACTCCAATTCCCCACCTCACGAATCAGTCTTTCTATATATTCCTCCCCAGCTATCCTTTCAGAGCTGTCCTCCCTCTTCTCCATCCAGCAGCTACAACTGCTCCTCTTTAAAATAAATCCCCAATTCAACTGCTTTTCACTACCTCTACTGTCCTGCCCAGTTATACCAGCAGCCTCCTTGTCCTAAATGTTGCGATGGTCTCCAGTGGCCTTCCAGTCTAGCCCCCAGGACCGTCAGTCAGACAGATCTTTTGTAAGTGCAACTGGCTCAAGTCTCTCCTCTGCTCCAAATTTGCCAAGGTTTTCCCACCTTGGTAAGGTCTGTGGAGACCCACTTAACCTGCTCCTGCAACCCCCACCTCCCACCCATTAGGCTCCCACCCCTGATCTTCTGTTGTGACCTCAAAGCAGATAAACTGTGTTGGCCTCAGTGCCTTTGCACCTGTAACTCCCCTCCTGGTATTCTTCCCTGTCAGAAACAACTCACCCATTGTTTCTCTATGGCACTGTGCCATCAACCCCTCCACAGAGAGATGCCCCCCTTTTTGTTTTAGTTTTCTCCTATCCTACCTGGCCTGCATTTACAAATGTGCTGTGTTCGTCTCTTCTGATCTGATGTGAGAGCTGAGAGTGGATGCCATGTCTGTCCTGCTCTTTGCCTTGTCTGTGAACCTGACAGCACTTACCAGTCAGCAGGCACTGATGAATATTAGCTGACTGACTGAATGAATGAGTGAATGAGCCTTGTAAGGTTCTGCTTCCTTGGGCCCATGTACATGGAAAGCTGATGTCTCCTCCCATGTGGTGCAGGATCCATGCATTGGTCCTGTCAGTTCACTCCCATGAAGCCCCACCCCAGGCAGTATGGATGTTCAGAAGGGGTCAAACTTGTGGAGAGAACCTGGGCAAGAACTGGTGCTCTGTTTATAAATGAGAAAGAAGCTTAGATACAATGAGACAGGGTCAGGGCCTGATCCAGGTCTTCTTCTCTCCCTGCGCCATGGACCCTTCCATGCCTCTCCCCAGTCTGCATAAGCTGCATTGGGGTCAGTGCCCTGGGCTCCAGACTGGAGTAGATCCTTGTCATATGCCTTAATATCTCTTGTCTATTTCCTTTTGCCCTCCTCCTTCCTGCCAAGTAGAGCTACAGGCCTGCCACTAGAGGCTCAGTTACCCAGGTTTCCTTCCTGGGGTTTGTGGGAGAGCAGTGTGCTAATCTGCCTATTCCAGAGTTCCTGGTAGTCTGGTTGTGGTCAGCAGCAGTGAAAATGCCCTACAGCGCTTATTGTTTTAGTTTTTCTGAGGGCTACAGTACAGGGCTATCTTGTCCTCACCTCCAGGAAAAGAAGGTGTGTCACACACTGTCATTGCATTTACACATGAGACAACCACAGGGCTAGGGCAAGGTCAGATGACTAAGGCCAGACCCCAAGTCTGAGGCCAGACTCCTCCCAGCCATTCATCTCTCTATCCTATCCGCTTCTCAGCAAGGGTCTGGGCAGCTTTGTCAAGTCCATCTGGTTACCCAGAAGTTCCTGAAATCACCCTTGAAGCTCCTGAGATCCAGACCTAGACACTTTTCCTCCTGGGACTCTAGGAAACAGAAAAGCTGAGAAGCTAGGGACAGAGGGAGGAATTCATTCCCTGAGTCCCAAACCTAGAGTCCCACATCAGGCAACAGGCACAAGAGTGCAGTGCACACTGCACGCTCTGCGGGCAGGCAGAAGGTTCTGCTTTCCTTGCAGCAAACTGGGCCTCAGCCAAAAGCTAAAAGTGGGTGTGTGTTTGGGGACGGGATGGGGAGGGGGCAGGCCACACAGATGAGTAACAAACAGCCTCTCAGAGACAGAGCAAAAACATCCCTGAGCAAGCTAGCAAGCAGATCTAGGGCAGAAGGTGACTGGGAGGCCTTCCTGGGGGAGGGATTGTGTCTTCTTCACCTCCAGTCTCAGAAAATCAATGTCTGTTAGAGGAACACACGAGAAGAGTTTTAAACCAAATGTTGTGTCTCATCGTCTCCGAAGTATGGGAAATGCTTAAGGCACACCACTTCATTCTAGCATGGCCAGACCCTCCCATGCCATCAGCCCCTCTACAGCACTGCCTGAAAGTATCCACATCCCAGAGGGACAGACTCACCAGCTAGACTGTCCAAAATAGGCAGGTCCATCCTGGCTAGGAAGGGGGCTGGCTGGTTACTTAGCACCTGGCCCTGCCCAAGGGCAGTCCAAGTCTGCGAGAAGCCCCCCCCTGGTCTTTCAAACTCTTCCCAGGTCCACCCCAGCTCCTGGGTCACAGGTGTCTGCTATGGGGTGGTTACTTTCGCTCAGCTTCCTCAGCAACCCGCCTCCCACACCCCCATATACCTCTCCCACCATACCTCTTGGACCTTCCTTTCCTGTGCTCCTGCCAGACACAAACTCCCAAGAGCACTCTCTGTGCATAGGTCCATTTTCTCCCCTTTGCTTGCAGTGCCCACCCAAACCGCACCTGAGTCCTTCGAGCTCCAGCTGAAATGTCACTTTGCCCAAGAGGCCCATTTAACCCCAGCCCAGGTCACCTCTGCAGCATCCCTGCCCAGGTCCCTAAATCCACACTCAGGGTTGGGTTATCTGAGCAGAGACATTTCTCCCTTGTGGAGTGGTGAGTCAGTGGGTGAGGGCAGGCTCAGTTCACCTCTTCCACCCCAGCGCCAGGCCCTGGGGGAGCAAACACTCAGTAAATATTTGCTTAATCGAATTTGGCCAAGGAGCCTACTCCAGACCAAGCCGAAGGCAGCGGGACTCAGTCCCCAAGGCAGGGAAATCACTTGGGCAGAAAGGAGCCTGTCAGGGGCTGGGCGGCTTCCCGCAGCCGGCAGACCTCGCCTAGGAGGCGGGTCGCTCCACCCCGAGACACCGACTCCAGGGAACCCTGGTCTCAGCACCGCCTTCCCATCCTCTCCTCCCTTGTAACAGAGAACCCTAATTCTTGGCCTAGGCGGATTCCTGCCATCACCACCCAGAGAGGCTCAGCACCGCCCTGAAGGCAGAGCCCCCTCCGATCTCCTGCAGGATACCGAGCCCCAGCCCCGAGGCCCTCACACCCCTCCCCCAAGACACCCCCACCGCCTTTTAAGGGAAAAAACATTGAGCCGGCAAAATATCTCAATCGCAGCGGGTCGATACTCATCTCTCGCTCTAAACGCCTCCCGGGAACCTGGTCGCCGCAAGAGCAATGACCGAAAACTGAGTCGTCGGTGCCCGGACGCAGGCCTGCGGCGCCCGGTGCTCCCGGCCAGCCCAGGCCACGCGCCGGCGACCCCGCAGCCGGGGGGCGCCTCCCGCCAGCCTCGCCCGGACGCGGACCCCACCTCAGCCACGCTCCGCAGGTCGCCGGCCGGGCCGAGCTCCGCACCAGCGGCTGCTGGGGGCGCCGGCGGCCGGCGCGGCATCCCTGACGGTCTCTGCCCACCCTCGCGGGCCGGCAGCCGCCACCTCCCCGCGGCTCCTCGGCCGGGCGGCGCCCCCTCCCCGCACCCACCTGGCCCGCGGCCGCCCCTGCCCACCTTGCGGGCATCCCCGCCCTCGCGGGCATCCCCGCAGCTGCACCCCGGCGACCCCGGCCGAGGCGGATCCCCGGCACAAAGGCCCGGGTGGGGGTGGGGTGGGCGCCCGGGTCCCCCGCCCGGACCCCCGCGGCTCGGCCGCCCGCCCGGGCGCAGGTCGCTCACTCACCTCCGGGTCGCCGCGCGGTGCATCGGCCGAGCCGCTCCGGGCGGGGCGGGGCGGGGCGGGGCGGCGAGCGCGGGGCCGCGGCGCCCTGGTTCCGCACGACGCGGGCGGCGGCGCCCGCGCGGGGACGTGACCGGACCGCGGGCGGCGCACACGCTCCGGCCCGCCTGACTCCCTCCGCCCGCCCTCCCGCGCAGCCCGCCGCCCGCCCGCGGGTCCGCCCGCCCCGCGCCGCGCCGCGCCGCGCCGCGCCGCCGCCGCCGGCAGGAGGCGGAGCCGCGAGCGCAGCGCGTTGCCAGGCCAACCGCGGGCGGGGGGCGGGGGAGGGGGTGGCCGCGGGCCCGCCGGGCACCACGCGCCGGGCGCCGCCGCCCCGCCACGAGCGCCGGCTCGCCGTTGGTTGGGCCAGGGCGGCTGACGGACGCGGGCGCGGCCCAATGGCGATGGGCGGGGGCGGGGCCGCGGCTCCCCGCGCGCGCCGCACACTCGCACGCGCCCGCCGCGCAGACCGCCCGGGCCCCCGGCCGCGCCCAGGCCCGCGCGCCCACCCGGCCGGACCCCTGATCGCCGGCGCCGAGGTGTGGCCTGACCGCAGCGGATGTGCCGGCGCGCTCCGCCGCTCGTGCGCTCGTGCTGGGATTCGAACCCAGCGCAGCTCTTTGCGAGCTGCGCGACCTTGGGCAACCGACTTCTCTGAGCTTTTCTGTTTTGCAAAAGTGGGGCTAGTGGCACCACCTTTCCTGGATTGTCGCGACAGTTGCCGGTCGGTGAAAGGGTATGCCGAATCCTAAAGGTTTGCGCTGGTGAGGTTTGTGCAGAAATGGGAGGGGACATTAGTCATCATTGCGGCTCCTGGGCCCAGCGTGTCGGGGCTCCTTAGGGTACTTGGCAATCCCAGTCAAGGAAAGGAGAGGACAGAGAGGGACCAAGGAGCTGTCCCCCATACCAGACAAAGGTGTGGGAGCCAGCTAAGTTGGGATCTTTGAGAAGCTTTCCAAAATGCACCCGAGGGAGTCTGCAAAATTTTGCTTTCAATTTCAGGAGGCCTCAGAGTCAGGAACCCTTCACTCCTGTGCATGAAGGACAGACCAGAGGGCCAACAGCTCTCTCTTTCATTACTGAAACCTGAACCTTTGAGCCTCCTGGCGCATCCCAAGTAAAATCCAGGTGCTTCCAACCAACACCTTACTGGTGGAATAATAAGGATCACCTCCGCTGTTACCTCCGCTGAGCAGAAACACCACAGGAGATTGGTGGGATGGTGGCCCCTGCAAAGGTCTGTGATCCAAAGGCAGAGGTAGTCAGGCCCTGCCAGCTGGACACTGGCATCTCAACATCATTTCATAACCTCTCCAGCAACGTTTCCTCCGCTGTGAAATGAAGACCATGTATATACTGCATACTCCAGGATCCTGGGCCACCTGTGAAGATGTAGCCTTAACTCTCAGGGACAGGACAGATACTGGTTATGAGCATCCTGAACGTAAGGGAAGCAGGTGCCACTAGCCCGACCATGTACCATGATTTGGCCTGGTGCTTGCTGGAGCGGGCCAATGAGAACTAGAGGAATCAGGCTCATATTTGAGGGCCTTCTCTCTGTACATGTCCCACACACCACCATACTGAGTCAGGCTGGGCTTCTGCCTGGATGCCCACATAGAGACCAATGGCTGTAATACCAGGAAGGTGATGGACAGGCCCTGCTTTGGGTGACTCAGAAGTCAGGGGGTTGGAGTGAAGGCCTAGCTTTGCCCCATCACCCCATACCCTCAGGTGAGGTATTTCATCTAGCTGCATGTCAGTTTCCTCTTCTGTCAAAAGGGGACACAAACTGTCCCTAAAGGGTGATTCTGAGGTTATCTTGCATAGGAAATGCATACTGGCACATGTTCAGAAATGGAAGAGGGCAGTTTATGCTATGGGATCAAGGGTCAGAACAGAGCTGTTTGTGGGGGCAAACCTAGAGGCAAGTGTAGAATGACCCCCTCCAGCAGAGTGCAGGTGTGAGGTCAGAGGCTATGCAAGGAAGAACCCAAGGGGGTTCACTGCTGCCTCCTGACCTTGGTGGCCACCACCAAGTGAGAGGTCACCTGGTGTCAACCAGTGATTGCAGCCCCTCCATTTGCTACTGGGCACACAGTTCTTATTTCTCTTGTTAGTGTTTTTTTTTTTTTTAATTTTTTCATAGAAGAACTGAGGTGCAGGCCAGAGTTGCAGGGGGGTGAGAGGATCCACTCGAAACAGAGTGAGGAGCACAACAGATCTACTGAAATACACTGCTTAGGGGAGTAGTGGGCAAGACAATAGAGATCTGCTGCACTATATGTGGGCCAGCTCCCTGACTGGGGATCAAACCAGGCCACAGAAGTGACAGCGCTGAGATTCAACCCCTAGGCTACCAGGGAGGCCCTGGACACGCAGTTCTAGGCAGAGTTCAGGGATTTTTTTTTATAAAAGATTTATTTATTTATTTATGCATATAAGAGCTGGGGTACAGGCCAGAGATATGGGGGGGGGGGGTGAGAGATTCCACCAGAGACAGAGTGGGGGAACAGAACAGGTAGACTGACTAAAATACACTGCTGAGGGGAGCAGCGGGTGAGACAGGAGAAGTCTGCTGCGCCATGTGGGTTGCTCCCTGGCCTGCCGGGGATCGAATTCGTGCTGCAGAGGCTGCTGATTGCTTCACAGTGTGGTGCTTAACTCTGCACCACCAGGGAGGCCCCAGAGTTCTGGGATTTATAAAGACTGGGCCCTGGCTGGTAGGCCTTCCTGTCTCCTAAGGCAGGGACAGACAGCAGGACATTAATCCACCATTACAGTTGCTCGAAACCCAATGGAAGAAATCCACAGGGGGGGCACTGGACCTCCAGGACAGCTTCCTGGAGGAAAAAACACTTGAGCTAAGGTCATGAGGTGGTCTGTGACACAGGGCAGCAGAGGTGCTTTCTAAGGTGGCAATGGCACTGGGTAGGAAGGAGCATGAATCCTGAAGAACAGGGAAAATCCAGTGAGCTTGTGAAGGTGCCAAAATATGAGACGAGAGTGGGGCTGGGAATAGTCACATGGTGCTGGTAGCGCTTGGGTAGGATTGGGGACGTTGGCCTAAGAACAAGTGGAGCATTTTAAGATTAGCTTTTTAAATTTGAGAAGGAGGTTGGCAAGCTTCTTTTTTTTTTTCATATTTAGACATGGTCCCACAATGTGAGATGTGCTAATAGGCAGAATCAAGTAAGAAAAATGTCAGCTAAGCCCAAAGAAAATAAGAAAGCAGAGAAGTCAGTCCATGAAGCCAAGTTCCACATAGGGCCATGGGCTCATGAGGCCTGTGTGTGTTAGGAGACGGCCATGGAGAGAAGGGGCTGGGCATGGCAGTGGGGAGTTGTTGGGAGACTAGGGCCAAAGGGGGGCCCACATGAGAGGGGAGGCCGGAGGAAGGAATGGTACTTGCTTAGGGAAGTGGCTGGGAACCAGCAGAGTCCCAGAGCCTTGGGAAGAGAGTGTCAAGAAGAAGGAAAACTTGGTCAACCATGTCATGTGCTACTCCAAGGTGTGTGCCTGGAGTTTGGGCCACACAAGGCTAAAGCTGGCCAGGTGGGTCCTGGTGAGTTGTGGTAGGCCCAGGGAGCCAGGTACAGATGCGTGGTCTCCTGAAGCCTCACTGGTCAGGAGAATAGGACTGGGGGATACCAGCTGGGGTTTTCTGGTGGAAAGAGGAAAGGGGTCCCAGTGATTGAGCCCAACTGGCACCTCACCAGCCCAGCAGGGACAGCCAGCTGAAGAGTGACTCCTAGAGGAGGTGTCTACCACTCCCCCAGGAAATAGCCAAACCTCCACCACAGGGGGTTCCATGCCATGGGCGTCATGACCCCCCTTAATTCCGGCAGAATTTTCTGGCTCATCAACCATGAGCCAGAAAACCTGTTCAGGAACCCAAGCCACACCCCCTCTTCCCCACCACAGGGACACAAGGCCCTCCACGCATAGATAACTTTGCCCCTCTTCCCCCCATGAAGCTAAGCTTCCCCAGGCTTCTCTCCCTACACATCCAGGGCCCCCAGTCCCTGGAACTCTTCATGTATACATGTGCCAACCTTTGCTGTAAAGACAGTCCCAGGGGCCTCTCTGGTGGTACAAGGGGTTAAGCACCAGACTATGACGCAATCTGCAGCCTCTGCAGCACGAGTTTGATAGGCCGGCCAGGAAGCTACCCACATGGTGAGGCAGACATTTCCTGCCTTGCCCGCTGCTCCCCTCAGCAGTGTATTTCGGTCAGTCTGCCTGTTCTGTACCCCACTCTGTCTCTGGTGAATCCTCTCACCCCCCCACATCTCTCGCCTGTACCCCAGCTCTTGTATGCATAAACAAATAAATCTTAAAAAAAAAAAAAAAAAGACAGTCCCAGCAGACTCTCCCACTAGCATCCCCACTTCGGGAGGGTGGACCACTGACTGCAGCCCCCTCCTGGCTGGCTCTTCTATGTGTGCCACCTGTCCTGATCCCCCAATCCCCGCCCAGCAATTCTCAGGCTGTGACTGAATGGGTTGATTTCTCTGTTTTGTTTCCTTGGGGTCTGTGTGCCCCCCACCCCACTTGAACAAGCCATCCATAGATCTGGGTTAGTTATAAATAGCCAGGCCTGCAACTCTCCTTGTAGCTGAAAAGAAGCAAAGTGAACGAGCAGAGAGGCACACCCGGCACGCGTTTTATTTTTAATCTCCCTCTGTCTCAAAATGAACCCGGTCGCGGTGCTCAGCGTTTCTAGGAGTAGAGACCCAAGACAAATGCCTGAGAAGTAAACCCCAAGCTGCTGAGGGACCTGTCTGCTGTGTGACCTGCATGGCCTCTCTGGGCTTCCTCACCTGTGGGGCACAGTGGAGGCTGTCACCTCCAACTCTTCAGACTTCTGACTTCGCCTCCTTCCCTCCCTCTGCTTTCCCCCAGCCTGTAGGCATCCCTTTTCGATGTTCTAACAGCAGCTCCTCTCCTGGGAATCCCCATTCCCCCAGGAAGTTCAGACCAGAGGCAAGTGAGGCCACAACTGAGCCCACATGTGCCTCACTCCCAGCCCTTTCTTTCTCAGGTGTTCCGCAGTCAAGAGCCTGATCACCCCTTAGCCAGTAAAATCCTTCTTAGGTCAAATGATCATCTCCCCACTATGACTGTGCTGAACCCATGGAGGGTCAGGCAGGTAGGGAGCCCTAGGACAGGAGCAGGAGCAGGAACAGAAGGCCCAGGAGTCACCCCTGGGAGTGGCTTGACTGGAGGCGAGGTTTGAATGTGAGGTGTCCTCGAAGGTGGGCCCATTTTCTGCATCTTTGATCAAGTTCCTAAGGGTGGACGTCCTTTGGCCTAACAGGTGATTTTGCAGGGGTGGACAGTGCAGCTCTTTGAGCCTACTCCTCACCCCTCACTCTTACCCCACAGATCCTAGCTTGAGACTCAGAGTCGGCAGAGATTCTTGTGCTAGGCCCAGGTGACCCTTACACGGACCATGTTGCCACCCACTACCTCAGTGATATTGCACGACCCTTGACCAGGTAGACCGTGTCAATGATGAAAAAATTAGACTCCGAGAGTTTAGGAAACTTGTCCAAGGTCACACAGCTGGATACATTTAGGAGTCCATCCTAGGCTTGTTGGAAATATGTATTCTTCAAAGAAACCAATACTCCTGAAGCAACAGAAAACTTCCTGGGTTGTGAGTGTGCTGAGAAGTAATGAGGCAGAGCTCGCTGCTCCACCACTGTGCATCAATGAGAAGCTGGCCAGGGACACTGGGAGCCACTGGACAAGCCGTCTGGTCTCTTCACCCCCCTCACCCCAGGCACCTGCCATTTGATGTCCTCGGGGAGTGAGGGAAGAAGGCTGGCTGGGGTGATGTCTTCAAAGAGGAAATCCCTGGTGTTAATTGGCACTCAGAGACCTTTAGGCTAATTAACCTGTTTATTTGTCTCTCTAGAGTAAATTAGAGGGTTTAGCTGGGGAGGGCGGAAGAGAAGTATTTGCCAGTGGCCACCCCCTTGGGGGCTATGGGTGACTTCACAGTGGGTGGTATGGGCTGCGGGGAAGGCAGGGAGAGGGTGGGCTGCAGGACAGTAGTGATGGGCCACGGGCCTACCTTGGGGAAGGGTGGCCCTGCCCAGTGACACCCTGCGCGCTTCTCCGTGAGGGCTGCTCTGGGTACTCACGGGCTGGGACCTGGGGGTCTGGGTGCAGCCTGGGTGGGCTCTGGGTTCTCCTCCAGGTAGCGCCTTGCAGACATTCCCCAGGAGGGGAAGGAGCAAGGTGGCACTCTTTACAGGTTCAGCATACTGAACTTCTCCCTGTTCTGTACCCCAGCTGTGCCATGTGGAGCCCCCATCCTTCAGGGCACTAGGGATCTTGGGCAGGGTCTGTGGATTTCCTATTACCTTTTGTAAATCTTCCACCAGGGACTCCCTATCAAGTTCTTCCTGTACCCAAGGACCAGTTAGGTAGGTCTGGGACCTCCAGTAGCTTAGAGATATTGTAGGTGGGAAGAGGCCTTGACTGCCCCCCCCCCCCCGCATAGTACAAGGTGAGGAAAATGGGGTGGCATCTGCTTCTGTTTAAGGCTGATGCCATGCAAATCACAGGTGACCAAAGGCTGGCATCTTTTGGGGTCCTTTGAGGCCTCACAACCTCTACCTCATCCCTGCTAGTCACCCACAGTTTCCTACTGGCTGCTCAGGAAGGCAGCAGGAGATATTTGCAAGTCATCTCCTCAGCACCCTCTCCTCTCCCCCCCAACTCAAGAAGACTTATTCCTTGTTCCTGCATGCTACTCAGCTTGGTGGGAAGTGACTGACCCACCCTCACCCTCAGGGCTCTTTCTTTTTTTTAAAGATTTATTTATGCATACAAGAACTGGGGTACAGGCCAGAAGTGCAGAGGGTGAGAGGATTCACCAGAGACACAGTGGGGAACAGAACAGGCAGACTGACTGAAATACACTGCTGAGGGGAGCAGTGGGTGAGACAGGAGAGGTCTGCTGCACCATGTGGGTTAGCTCCCTGGCCAGGAGTTACTGAAGAGGCTGCAGATAGTTTCATAGAGCTGTGCTTAACCCCTTGCGCCACCAGGGAGGCCCTCAGTGCTCTTTCTTGTCTGGCAGGGGCCCAGGGCATTATCAACAGCGGCCTGATCCCTTCACTGGTGTGGAAGCTGCAGAAGGAGGAAGAGGAGATCCAGGTGCTTCTCCTGGACACACTGTCCTTCTGCCTGATGGAGGATGCCTCCGAGGCGCTGAACAGCCGCGTGGTGCCCATCCTGAAGGAGAAGCTGCTCAGTACCAACGAAAACATTCGCAGCAAAGCTGCCCGCACGCTCATTGCTGTCAGGTGAGGTTTGGCAGCATGGGGAGGTGGGAGCAACTGCTCCCCTTGGCTTTCTGCTGAAACTTAGCGGGCAGTTGAGCTGCCCTGGACTCCCAACCAGCGGAGGGGCCATCAGCCACCCCGGGGCCTGCTTGTGCAGTGCAAAGGAGGATGCTGCAACTGAAGAGGACCCTCTCCCTTGGGTGACCACTGTCTGTTGGCCCGAGAATGCCCCGAGCTTAGCCCTGACAGTCTTGTATTTCAGGAAACCCCCTGTCCTGGGCAAAACCAGATGGTTGGTCACCCTCCAAAAAGAAGGCAAGCATGGAACACAACTGGGGATCACGGTGGTTACTAAGCTCTCAGTGTGTGCAGGCAGTGTCCACAGACTTCACCTTTAGACACTACCTGAAGGAAAGGAGTGACTTCCCCTTGTAGATGGGGAAATGAGGTGCTGTATGTCCAGTAGCCTGTGACCCAAGGTGACACGTATCACATTCTAAATCCTGGCCTGGCACCTGAGAAAGCATAACACCCCCTGGGAGCTGGGGGTGAGGGAGGCAGGTGATGTGTGATCCCAGACAGTGACACTTCTGAAGGATGGGGGTCAGCCCTGCCGCCCAGTTCTGTGGCCTCCTCCCTTAATTGGGGCACCTCTGTCAAGTATGGCCTCTGAGTCTGGCCCCTGGGAGACTTGTTAACATGCAGATCCCAGGGCCCCACCTTAACCAGATCATCTCAGGTCTTTGCTCAGATGTGCTTACCCAGTGAGGCCTCTGAGAGTGTACTTTCTCTACATAACAGCGGCCTCCCAGCCCTGCCTGTACTTTTCACCGTTCCAAACTGTTTCATGCATTGTCCCCAAGGGCAATGCCTGAGGACAGGACTTTGCTCTTTCTGCTGCTTGAGACCAGGGCTTCAAAACAGGTGGAGGTTTGCTCCCGATCCTGGGAGACATGCAGCACCATCCAGAAACATTTTTGGTAGTTCCAAACTGGGGGTCAGGGGGTGCTCTTGGCATTGAGTGGGAGTGGCCAGGGGTGCTGCTCAACATCGTACAGTCCACAGTGCCCACTGAAGAATTACCTGGCCCTGAACATCAGTGGTGCTGAGAGTGAGACACCTGGCTCTTGCCTCAATGTCCTGACCAGGGCCAGCATGTACCAGGTGCTATCAGTACTCTCTGCAGGAATGAATGAAGGTGATGTCTCGCCGCAGGTGGGGCCCAATATCTATATCTTTGATCAGTTTCCTGAGGGTGGATGTCCACTGGCCTCGAAACTCAACAGCTTCACAGTGACAGCATTGGCTAACCCTGCGCTTCCAAACCATGTTCCCAAGACATAAGAGCCCGTGTCTTTTCAGATGTTATTAACTGTTCTGCCAACATGAGGGTTCTGTGGGTTGCAAAGTTTGGGGAAGGCTGATGAAACTGAGTGACTTCAGTTCCTTGCTGCAGGACAAACGTGTGTTATGAGGCTTTGGTAGGACCTGTTAGCAACGTTTCCTGGCCCAGGGAACCCTTCTTTTTTGGGGGACAGTTTTGGCCTTCTCACAGGGAAACACTCAGGGGGTCTACCACTCTGTTTCACAGCTTCCTACAATTCCAGGATTAGAAGTGACCTAAAAAGTCATCTTGCCTGAGTGCTTCCTGGCAACTTGCTGCTGTTTGTGTAGCTTAGCCCATCCTGGCCAGCTCTGCTGCTCACCCCTGGGTTCTGTTCCTCCTGGTTCTGGGGCGAGGGGCAACAAAATGTCTAGTTTCTTTGAGTGATGCCTTGGGGGCAAAGTTCCATCACCCTCTACTCCTGTATGGTCCCACATGTGGTAGCCCCAGGCTCTGCTCCCTTGTCATCTGAGCTTGGGGTTGAGACCTCAGCTTCACACTAGTGCTGCCCTACACCCTGGTCCTTCATCCAACCTAGACCACCAGGGATTATCCCAGCACAAATCCTTTTCTCCAGTGTCCCCCTGAGAGGTCCAGGGGCCTGCCTCCCTCGTCCTCCCAAGCAGAGTCACCCAGCTTTCACTTCTCTGACCCAGCATCCCTCTGGACGGCAAGAACCAGGTGTGGAAATGTGATGTCATCCCCATCCTTGTGCACCTGCTGAAAGACAATGACGTGAATGTGCAGGCCAATGCCGCAGGGGCCCTCATGTACGCCACAGTGACCACTGAAGGTGAGGCAGCCTGCTGACTGGGTGTGCTGGCGGGAGGACAGGGAGAACAAATGCCATCAATGGGGACATTTGTAAGCAGAGAGGTGACCTCAGCCCCGAGCCCCGGCACACAGCTGGTCTTGTCATCGGCATCCCAGGTATTGTCCCCTCCCCACCCTGCCAGAATACTCCTGTGGTGGTTGAAGTCCTTTCAAGTTTGGGTCCTAGGCTCCACCCTTCCTTCTTCTTGGTCACAGTGGGCTTGCCTGCCCGCGCCCCTCCCTGGTCACCCACATTAGGCTCTCTTGTCCCTTCCTACCAGGCTATTGTCTGGGTCTGGATTTCCGGCCTCTGATCCAGGACCTTGTGAGCCATGATCCTGAGATTGATTTGCTTGCTAGCCATGATTCTAAGCAAACGCTGGAGTTCCTGCTTCCCTGTGTTTCTTGATAGAAATTACCTTTCTCAGTGTGAGAAGTGGAAGTATAAGACAAGTGGAGGAATAAGATTATGTCTCCAAGCCCCCAGCCCCAACCCTGACTCTAGCCAGCCGAGCATTCATGCTACGCAGAGGGATGGCCATGGATGGCTTCCATACTTGGAGGCCATGACCTCTGAAACCATCTGACCTTTCTCACAGGCCTGCACTCATGGTACCTGTGCTTCCTTGGACTTCTAATTCTCAGTCATCATACTGCAAAGCCCCCAGAGTCAGGCCTCCCGCCCACTCCCCCCACTTTCCCTAATGGTGGAATGTGAGATGTACCAGTGCAGTGTGGTTGCGGTTTTCCCAGAGTCTACTGCTCCCTTTCACTGTTCAGTCAGGATGCCAGGGCAGGTGCTGCCCTGTATGTCTATCTCTTAGGCATCAGCAGGGCAGTATCTCTACCTGGGCAATTTCCAGAACCTTGAGATGTGAAGCCCCTGTGAGACTCAGTCTTAACATGGGTCATCTATGGTTTGGTAGGAGTGTCAGAGTGATGAGTGACAGAAGGGAGCAGGGCAGCAGGCCAGGGGCACAGGCCAGGGGCAAAGCATCCTCTGGGTGGGGCATGGCCATTGACCCAGAGGATAATGGGAGTTAGTAAGGCAAAGGAGCAGTGGACATGCTGCTGCAGCAAAGCAAAGAGCACGCTGAGCGCAGCCGGAGCGTCAGGGCAGAGGAGCAGCCACTCAGCCTTTTAGCAGGGAAGGGTGGGGGGAGGCAGTGAAGGGAGGGTATCGCCTTTTCATGTTCATGTTGACGCCCCTCCCTAGACTGTAAGGGCCACGAGGATGAGAATGGAGTGTGCTTTGTGACTGGTTCACAGTATTGAATAAATATTTGCCATATAAATATAGGGTTGGATTTTAATTTTTAAAAGACTGTATTTGTTGCTTTGTGAGGACTGGATTGTGGGACAGACCCAGGGTGGATGGGGAGAAGCCAGTTAGGGGGCTTCAAGGGTAGGAGACCTGGCCTAGGCTGGAGGCAAAGGAGGGCTTGCGGTGGGGAGTTGTGAGAGAGGGAGCCCGGGGGAAGGGTGGCATCTGCCAGACACTATGAAGGCTGGAGGGTGGCCAGAGGACTGGGGCATGAGAGGAGTTGGGGAAGAGAGCCCCCTCATGAACACCTGGTGTTGGTGACCCACAGGAAAGTATGCAGCCCTGGATGCAGAGGCCATCCCCCTTCTCCTGAAATTGCTGAATTCCCCCTTGAGCCAGGCACGCCTGAATGCTGTCAAGACCCTCACCATGCTGGCCGAGGCCCCTGAGGGCCGAAAGTTCCTGCAAGCCTGTGTGCCCAACTTCCGTAGACTGGAGTTAGATATCAGCATGGCTGTGCGGCGGGCGGCACAGATCGCCATCCAGGTCATCGAGTGGAAACCCTGAGTCTGTCCTACTGGGCCAGACCTGATAAACGCCATGCCTCAATAAATTGGCTGAATCTCTTTATCTTGCATCTGAATGGTAGTTTATTTTCTTGGAGCACTATCACATCTCACTTTCTTTTGCCAATGTAGGAACACCAGGTTTCAGGTGGCCAGGAAGGGGTCATGGGCTCAACCCAGGGCCCAGTAACAGGAGGGAGGTAACTACTCTGTGCTGGGACCAAGCATCCTCTCAGCGGTAGAGAGCAGAGCCGAGGCCTGGAGGGACAAGGTATGTGTGGGGGGAGGGAGTTGCAGGGGAAAGGAAGACAGCTGAACCAGGCATCACCCAAACTTTGCACATTCCAGTGACCAGATGCTTGGGCACACCCTTGCTCAGTGAGGTCTGCCCCCTTTTCACCTTGAGCTGCAGGAAGGAAGGTCAAAAGTGCAGCCCCACAGTGGGGGCATGCTGGAAGAGGATGCCCCCAAGGAGGCCCAAGGAGGGTCATTCTGTAAAATATTTCCTCCAAATAACTGGATTCTTCTCCATAGCCTGGAAGTGATCTGAGTAAGCGCTGGCACTGGCCTGGAGGCTGACCACACCTGTCTGCCTCCCCCAGGGTGGTCCTCTGTGTCTCTATCTGTCTCTCTTCTCCTATTCTGTGAAACTGGCTCAGGAGGTTTGAGTGTTAGAGGTAGGCATCCAGGTATGCATGGGAATCCCTTAATTTCTCTTACTCAACCCTGGTCTGATAAGGTTGACATTCTTTAGCTAGTTCTGACCCCTACTGGAGTGGATCTCAGCTTCAGGGCTCTGATGGCTTATCTGGATCTTTATCTTCCCCCATGAGTTTTTTGAGGCTCCCTGCTTCAAATGAGGCTTCCTTCATTATGTCACCAACTAGCAGCCCTATTTCCTATGGGGTAGAACCTCTCCAGGTTCGTGGGATTCCCACTCCTTTTCGAACAAACATCAGCAGCAAAACCAGAACCCCCACATGAGCCTGTTTTCAGTATTTTCAAAGAGCCCCAGGAGCCTTCTCCTTCCTAGAGGAAACACAGAGAAGTCTGTGTTCCTGGAATAAGAGAATTAGCTCCACTATGCTCTCTTGATGTGAAAAGGATCTGCTACTGGGCTGAGCTGTGCCAGGGGTTTCTGGTTAAATACCATTCTCAAAAAAAAAAAAAAGGCCCCATAAGAGGAAACTTATTCTCCTTCAGAAAAAAAAAAAAAGGCATTTTAGGGGCTCCACTGCCTCATGTCTCAATTCCTCCTCAACCAGCATCCCAACCACATCACCAAAAAGTTCTGGCCAAGGTCACTGACCTTGCTGTTCAGACCCTGAACTTTTTGGGCTTGACCTGTTGCAGTGATCTCTGTGTGGATGTTCCCACCTTGGGGTGCTTGGCTTGGTCCTTCCCCCAGGCTCTGGCTATGCACTCTTGGTTTCCTCTGGGTCCCTCTTTCTCTACATGACCAATGGTATTGGTGGTCTCTGTGCTAGGCCCTCTCCCGCTCTCTTGCACATCTCAACGGCCTGGCTGTGGGCTTCCTCTACTAGATTCCTGTCTTAGCCTGGTCTGCCCTCTGCCTTCTGACCCCCAATATGAGTCTTCAGTCCCAGGCTCTCTCTTGAGTTCTGGATTTTTTTTTCACCCAACTTAACATCTATTACCTTTAAGTGTCTCCAGGGAAGAATTAACATCAATACTTTCACAAACTATTCCAAAAAAATAAAAGAGAAGGGGATACATCCTAATTCATTCTATAAAGCTAATATCCTGATATTCAAACCAGACAAAGCCATCATAAGAAAAACTATAGACAAACTTTTTCTGAATATGGATGTACTAGTCAATCAAATTTCAAAAAACTAAATCCAGCACTGTACATTAGAAAGCATTGTACACCATGACCAGCTGAACCTTTACCAGGAATGCAAGGTTGGCTTAGCATTTGAAAATGAACCAATGCAACACATAAGTAGAATAAAGGACAAAAATCACGTGATTATCTTAATAGATAATTAAAAAAAGCATTTGACAAAATCCAACACACATTCACAATCAAAAGAAAGCAAAATTCTCAGCAAACTAGAAATAGAGGGGAACTTTCTCAACATGATAAAGAAACATCTGCAAAAATCCACAGCTAACATCATATTCAGTGGTGAATCACTGGATGCTTCACCCTAAAATAAGAAACAAGATGAGAACGTATGCTTTCATTACTTCTATGATATTGTACTAGAGGTTTTAGCCAAGACAATTCAGCAAGAGAAAGAAATAAAATGCATTCATATTGGAAAGAAATAAATGGTCTCTAGTTGCAGACTACATGATATTGTACATGAAAAATCCTAAGGAAGATACTTAAAAACAATTAGAACTAGGGCCTCTCTGGTGGCGCAGGCAGTTGAGCGCAACACTGTGAAGCTGTCCCCAATCTCTGCAGCGCCAGCCTTGGAGCAACCCACATGGCGCAACAGACCTCTCCTGTCTCGCCTGCTGCTCCCCTCAGCAGTGTATTTCAGTCAGTCTGCCTGTTCTGTTCCCCACTCTGTCTCTGGTGAATCCTCTGTCTGTGGTGAACCCGCACATCTGGCCTGTACCCCGGTTCTTGTAGAAATAAATAAATCTTAAAAAAAAAACCATTAGAACTATTAAAAAATGTTCAGTAAATTTTTTGGATACAAGATGAATATATAAAAATTGTTTTTCTATATGCTAGAAATGAACAACTCTAAAATGCAATTAAGGATTGACAATTTGATTTATAATAGCATGAAAAAGAATAAGAGACCTAGAAATAAATTTAACCAAGTGCATAACCTGTGCACTGGAAACAAAAACACTGAAAGAAATGAAAGAGAGCCTAAATAAGTGGAAAGACATCTTCTGTTCATGAATCAGAACACTTAATATTGTCATGATGACAATGTCTTTATGCAACTCAAACTCAACATGTTCCCAAAGCAGCTTTGCTCACACATCTTTACTTCTGCCTGTCTCTGGAACTGGTACATCATTTACTCACAGGCTGAAGGCAGAGAGTCACCCTGGCCCCCTCCTCCCAGAAGTCTAATCATTCAAGTCCTGTTACTTCTTTTTTTTTTTTTTACATCACTATTCATTTTTTTTTATTTTTGCCTATTTCCATTTTATTTATTTTTTTGTATTTTTTTAAAAAAATTTTAAACAATATTTGCTTCCCCCCACCCCCTCAGGTTGAGTCTCCATAGAATTTCCTTCACCAATGCACCTGTGCACCATCACCTCTGTCTCCTGTGCTCCTCCCTCCCTCCCTCCCTCTGATCCCTCTCCCTCCTCCTCCCCTGCAGGATGTCTCTGATTTATAATTGTCCGTTTTTGCTTTGTTGTGCTTTGTACTGTTAATATTTTTTACACTGATGTCTTATTTGATTCCCCTATATTCCTGTTATAAGTGAAACCATGCGATATTTTTCTTTTTCCTTCTGGCTTATTTCACTGAGCATAATTCCTTCTAGCTCCATCCATGTTGCTGTGAATGGCATGAGTTTATATTTTTTGATTGCTGAATATATTCCATTGTGTATATATACCACATCTTCTTGATCCCGTCATCTATTTTTGGGCATTTGGGTCAAGTCCTGTCACTTCTAACGCTAACTTCTATAGATGTCACTCACTCTTTTTTCCTCTCTGCCACACACTTGCCTGGATTACTCTAATAGTCCATTGGTGGGTGTTTCTGCCTCACTTTTAGCTTTCTGGCAGTAGCCAGCAAATCTGATCTCGTCACTTCCCTGCTGAAGCTCCCAGGGAACTAGGGTCCCCAAACATAAAAGGGTTGTGATTATGGGGCCTCCCTGGTGGTGCAAGGGGTTGAGCTATCCACAGCCTCTGCAGCAAGAGTTCGATCCCCGGGCTGGGCAGGGAGCAACCCACATGGCGCAGCAGACCTCTTCTGACTTGCCCGCTGCTCCCCTCAGCAGTGTGTTTCAGTCAATCTGTTTGTTCTGTTCCCCATTCTGTTTCTGGTGAATCCTCTCATCCCCCCACCCCTGCACCTCTGGCCTGTACCCCAGTTCTTGTATGCATAAATAAATATACCTTTTTTTTTTAATGATTTATTTATTTATTTATACAAGCACTGGGCACAGTCAGAAGTGTGGGAGGGTGAGAGAATCCACCAGAACAAGAGCGGGGAACAGAACAGGCAGAGCGACGAAATACACTGCTGAGGGGAGCAGTGGGCGCAGCAGGAGAGGTCCGTGCACCATGTGGGACCCTCACCGGTGGCTGGGGATCGAACCGGCACCGCAGAGGCTGCTGGCAGCCTCGCAGCCCAGCGCCCAGCCACTGCATCACCAGGGGAGGGCCACTTACCTCATAGGTCTTCCCACAAGTTGTATCTCCTGTTAGCTAGCTAACTGACCTCCTCCTTTGGCTGTGGGAGGTTTTCCTTGACTCTGAGTTTGGCTAGGGGTCTCTGAGAAGGATGTGTCAGTGTACATGCTATGTGGAGGGCCAGCGTGTGGCCCTGGTGTCAGACAGGGCTGCTTCAGGTCTTGTGCACACTCTCTATTTACCAACTTCCCTTTCTGAGCCTCAGGCCTCTCCCCTGTGAAATGTGATTCCCTCAAGCCCTTCCACTAAGAGTGCTTCTGTGGTCTGAATGGGATAATGCACTTACTCAGGCAGGAAAACATCAGGCCACACTAAATGCTGATTGTCACCACTAGCTGTCATGGTCTCTTTCCCTTATAGACCATGTGCTCTGTTCATGGCTATTTCCTTTCAGTGGCTGGCATGTAGTAGGTATCAAAACTTCCAGCTGCAGGATTAAACTAGAGATGAGGGGTTGGTTATGTGAGTGCACCCTTAGAGTGTGATATTTGGGATTCTGGGTGGGCCTCCCCCAATTCAGTTCAAGTCACCTGGAACTTTTTCTAAAGACACAAATCCATTAATTTGGTCTGGGAAGAAGTAAGAGGAAGGAGAGGTTTAGGGATCCACTCCCCTCCCCCTCCACAGAAACATAGCCCAGAAGTGGCCTACATTTAACAGCTAAAGGGAATCTAACCCATGCGCCCAATTCCCAAAATGTTCCAATAACAGGCTTTTGGGGAGGACTGGGAAGAGCTCTGCAAGGGGGAGGTTTCCCTCCTGGCCTCTTGTGGGGTCAGTCTGGAGCTAGGCTACAGTTTCAGGCTTTAGAACACCTGTCCTCTGGGGGTGTGGCAGGGCAATAGCCAGACAGTGCCAGGCTGTTGCCATTTCTATTAGGGCAACTCAGCTCTACCAGTGGTTTAGACAGGAGCAGCTTTGACTTCTGCTGAACTGTGTGGTTCTCAGTGTGGGCACAGCACCTGTGTGTGTGTGTGTGTGTGTGTGTGTGTTTGTGTGTGTGTGCGTGTGTATAAAACCAGCATGGGTGGAGGCTCTACATGACATGGCATCCTTGCCAGCAGACCTGTACCTTTAAAAAGGAGGAGACACAAAGCAAATGGAGGTTGGGTATAGGAAGGAAATGGTGACAGCAAAGTAAACACAAGCAGAAATCCCAAATATATCTAGAGATAAAAAGCCAAAATTAAATTTAAAGTGAAAGTCAGTGTTTATGCAGTAGAGCCATTTGGAGAAAATGACTCACTTTGTAAAGGAACAGATGTTCTCATTTGCATAGTCTCTGCAATCTCGGATGGACTTCACTCTGTCCCATTGGCACGCATGCCCTGCAGCTGGTGGCACTTGATGTGTGACACCGAGGGAGCATTTTCATTAGTATAATCCTTGGGCCCACATCCATGGGTCTCCCATAGGAAACACTTCCTCCCCTTGATGATGAGAGAGTCTGAGAGGCAGAGGTTTGCCTGTTCTGCCCAGCTGCCCCTGGGTACCAGCTGCTTTAGAAGTAGTAGATGTGACAGAGGACTAGGAACAGTAGCAAGATTATTGCAGCGGCATTGGTAGTTTTTTTCATGAGGGATGTCTCCACTATATCATCATGCCTTGTACTTCCAGAGGTGTCACCAGGTTTTGTTTTCACCAAGTTGTGATACAGCTTCAGGCCACAGAACACATCCCAGGCTATCCAGAAGTAGCCCTGGTCCTTCCTGAATGTCTCTGAAACAGAGGAAATAGGAAAAAGTTAGGCGGTATAGATTGAAACACAGGAGGGAGGACTTCTAGGAGGTCATGTCTCAGTGATGGGCCTAGTAGGAAGACTGACAAACTTGCTCCAATATGAAGCTTAGCTCAACCCCTACTGCAGAATATACCACTATCATCACAGACATGGGAGACTAGGATGAGGGGCTCAGAGACCATGGCAAGAGACAGTGTGGGGGTTGCCTTGGGATCATGCGTAGCTTCTGTTGGCAGATCCTGCAGCCAGGCCCAGGTGTAGTTCTCTGCCTCTCTTGTATACCTGCCCTTCTCTGTCTCAGGTACACAGCTGAACACAGCTCTGCATGTCTAGAGGTAAGTGGATCCTCCTCAGAATCCCCTTATCCCTTGAACTTCACCAGAGGATGGAAGAAACAGCTAGATTTCTGGAAGCAGTCACTGCTCTTTATGGCAGCTTTTCAGTGTCTTCTCCCAGTTTCATGATCTGGTCCAAAATTAGGCTCTCTGGGTCCTCAAGGGGAACTGCAGGTATTTTGCAGTAGGCAAAGGAGGGAAGTCTAGGAATTATAAGAAAGTTTCCACCTATTTCTCTGGGCCAAATTAGGGAAATTGCCTAATTCTAGGCTTAAAATGTTGGTCCCCTGTCAGTACAGCTCTCCCTGGCTTTTCCTCGAGGACTGCTCGGGCATAGATCAGCACCGTGGCCAGCTCCAGCACACTGAAAAAGGCCCTGCTGCTGCGTGGGATTGGTTTCCTCCTCGAAGACAAGACAAGCTCATCTCAGTCTGATTGTGCTCCCAGCAGTGTGTACTGTGACATGTTCTATGTCTCATTCTGGTGCGTAGTCTCCACACCAGCTGTGTTCTGAGGATAAGGAGGAAGCAGAGATGATGGAACTTATCAGCCAGGGATAGAGCAGCTTCTGTTGCAAAGGGATGATGACTGCAGTCAGAGGACCCCAAAGCCAGGGATGCAGATATCTGCTGTAGGGACTGAGAAACCCTGAGTACCACATTCTGGTCCATTCTTTCAGATGTCCGTGTTGCCTACCACCATTCAGCTGCCAGGCCAAAAGAGGCTATTGTAGGTAAAAGGCAACTAGGCACTAGACCAAGCCCAAGGGCTGTCTGATAAGGAGTGGGATATGTCAGTGGCCAAGAGCACACCTCTGGAGTCAGACTACCTGTGTTTAAGTCCCAGCTCCTCTGCTGCCTGTTTTCTATGGAGCCCAGGATAAGTCATTTAACTTTTCAGTGCTGTTGCTCCACCTCTGAAATGGGGATAAGAATCATACTTATCACACATGGAATAATCTCAGCAGTGCCTGGTACATCCTAAATGGGCGATAAATGTAGCCACTGAATCATCATCCTCTGTCTGCAACTGTGGGCCCTCAAGGAGCCAGTTTACTAACCTCCTCAGGGAGAAAGTCCCAGGAAACCCCCCAGGTGCATCCCCCCAGGTGCACGGGGCAGCCTTGCTCAGGAAAGGCCACTCCCCATGCCACACCTCCTGGGCATAAGTCCCAGGAGCTCACTTCAACCCAGAGTCTTCTGTAGGTGTCAGGAGGGAGCTCCAGGTCCCTTTAGGCTCAGACTTCCTTTATGGGATGGACAGGGGTCTCCAGAACTCTGCCTTCTTCCCAGGCAGACCTTTCCTTCCCTCCTTCCTTCCCCCAGACTCACAGGCTCCATAGCACTCTCCACCCCAAGCTTAGGGCTGATCTCATTAGGCTTTATCCCTATTTGCATCGGAGCCCTAAGAAGCTCAGGTCACCCTTCCCCATGATCCAAATGCTTCTGTTCTGACCCCATCTGAGGGTCCCATCTGGGCCCTTAGGTTCTCAGGGCTGAAGATCTGCTGGAGCCTTCTTTTCCCGTACGGAATGAAATCCTCTTGACTTATGACCTGTTTTCCCCTGGCATGTTCTTGGGTAAGGGCTGCTCACCCACCTCCCCAAACACCTTACCAACCATTTCTTGCTCCCCTCCTGAGAAACCCTTTAGTTTTGCATCCCCGTCAGGGCCCCTTTCCCCTGCCTTCTTCCAGGGAGGCGCCACAATGTGATATCTGTGTGGCTAAGTCCAGTGACCAGTTCTCAGGTCCCAGCTCTCTTGGCAGTAGCATTTGCTGCAATGGGTCAACTCCCTGCTTTTTGAGCCATTTCTGGGCCACCAAACACTTCTGTCTTCCCACTCTCACTGGCTGTCTCCTCCCCATTGCCTGGAAGGCCCTTCTCTCCATGCTAGGCGCCCCCCTGAACCTGCCTCCAGGGGCCAGCACACCTCAGAAGTCTGCCACATGGATCCCTCCAGCACATAGTGTTCCACATAGATGCGTGAGAAGCATCACAACCTCAATACACACTCCTGAAGCCAACTTAGGAAAAATGAAAGATGGGGCCTCTGCCTGGAAAAGAATTTTTGGGAGAGACTGTGGGGTAGGGGGTGCTGCAGCGCAGGCCATATCCCACCCCGAATGCTCTGAACAGGATTCCCTGGCAAATGCTTTAAATCGTCCTTCTCACCTGGCGTTTCCTGCGATATGCATGTCTTCCTTTGGATTTCTGCCTCCAGATATACCCTTTCCTCTTGGCTGTTTCGTAAAGTCCAACAGAGCTGGTGTAGCTGGGAGGAAAGCAAGGGGCATGTTACCACCCTGAGCCTTGGAACCATGCACACCTGTGGTGCCACGACTGGCAGCTGAGTGCCAGGGTCTCAGTGACTGAAGAGAGATCTGGTCATTGAACTCCAACAAGAATAGAAGGACCGTGGGGTGGGGAAAGCAAGATGTGGGCATCTCTGGCTCGCAGTTCTGGCTCTGGTACTTGCGGTTGTATGGCCTTGGCAAAGAGTGATGCAACCTGATTGGGTCTCCTATGTTTCTGTTGGCGAAGCAACAAGTAGAAGGCAATGAGCCTAGTGTGCCTTCCAATTCTGAGGGTCCAGAGACCCGGGCCCTTCAGGGTGAGAGAAGCTGCCCATCACCCCTGGTCTGCAGCTTCTGGTGAAGGAGGAGGCGCTCTTACCAGACAAACAGGAGAGGGCAGGTCTAGGAGCCAATTTAGTTCCAGAAACCCCCCTGGTTGTCAGAGGTGAGCTTGAGCTCAGCCTGGAGAGGCTTCACCTGGTCCTGACCCTCAGTGGCACTCAGTCACTGAAGTTCAGTGGAGAATTAGCAGCTGCAGAAGGGGAGGTTTCTATCCCTTCCCTTCTGAAATTTAATTTTCTTCCTGAAAACATATATGGTTACTTTGGGAAGAAACAAAATCCAGCCAATTGTTGTTCCCCGCCCCACCCCCCCCAAAGACTGGGGTCAGCAGTGAAATTTCTACTGAGTCTATAGTGTAATAGATAAATTTTAATCTATTACACCACACTTGGTATATTTGAATCTCAGCCTCCCAACATGTGGCAAGGATGCAAAGGAACCCCTCTAGGCTGGGATACCTTCACAGATAGCCCATTCTACGACTCACTTGAGTCTCATCTCTTAGACTAAAATGTTGAAACTAAAATTCTGTGGATGACAGAGACTGGGTTTAACCTTTAACTGCTTTCTGATTAGGCACCTGCTTTCTGTGTATGCAGTTGTCCCCTTCCCCCAACCACACACTCAGCCTCCTGTGGACTAGGTTGCTGGGTATGCTGGGAGATCCTGGGCCCTCCTTGGTGGTGGGGAGCAGAGAGCTTTGCCCATAGTTATTGAACATACACACTAATTTTCCTCTTCATCTCCCCATCCCCTGCTGGCCACTACTCTATTCTCCAGAGCGCCTGGCATATTGCTAAGAAGCTCAGAAATACTTAGTCTGACTGCCTGAGAAGGGGCAAAACCAAAATGTTGAGAGCTAGAGGACAGCAGAGAAGAACACAAGCCATCTAAACAATGAAGACCCTGAGCAAGAGGGAAAAGTCCCCTGTCCCCCACACCTCCTCCCATCACTGATGCAGGGGTGCACAGCAGGCCTGTGCCTCCCACATAATCCTGGCCATCCTCCTTATTTGTCAGTCCCTCTTGCAAACTGGGCCATGTGCATGACAGGAATGAATCAAATGGAAAATATTGAGCAGAAGGCATGGTCAGAGGGTAGCCCCCAGCTCGACTGAGGATCCTGAGGCAGTCTTCCAAGTTTTTCTTTACCCAGACCTCAGGCAAAACTGCAAAACTGCTGAGCTGAGTCCTAAACTTAAGACACCCCCTGCACTTTCTGGTTTAGTTACATCCCTGTCCTGCTAAGCTTACTGGCCTTGCAGAAGTAGTGGAGAAACCAGGTTGGGGCCCAGACCTGCCCACTTACCAGTTTTGATACCTTGGACAAGTGACAACATCTCTAAATACAGGTGCTGTAATATCCCAAGGGAGTGAACCTGTCTCCTGTGAGGTGGGAGATGGCCATGGAATGAGAAGGCTGACAAATACCCAGCTTGAAGCTGCCACAGGTCGCTGCCAGCACTACTGTCCTCTACTTCCTCTGGGTGGGTGGCAGCTAGCACTGCCCTGATTACATTAATTCATACTGCAGTTAGTGGGCTTAATACTTTCAAGGAAGATTCTCATTTTAAAATCCAAACTTCACATTCTAAGTGAATACTTAATTGGCAGATTGTTGAAAAGCTCTTTAGGTTAGCTTTGTTTTTAAGCAGGGTCTTTTCTGTGTTTTTTGCCTATTTCTCAGCCACTCCCATGCCCATTACCCCAACCCCTGATCCACAGCCTCCCCACTTGCACACAAACCAACAAAAAAATAAATGAACACTGCAGGAATTCAGTTTTTTCCCCCCAAAGCTTGTGGAACCAAGTGACCACTAGCTGGAACACTGGGACACCAAAACCTTCTCATGCAGCACTTACATGTTTATCCGGAACTGGGAGTGTGAATGAGGAGATCCCCACGATGATGAATATAGTGACTATGAAGAGTATTATGACAAAATAGAGGTAGTTCAAGTTGCAGATGAACACCGGGCACATGCTTTTGTTTTCCATGCAGCCCTGGGGTTTGTAGATAAACTTGAGCACCATTCCACAAAGACCAATCAGAACTCCACCAACCAATCCCCAGAAGGCACCCTGCCAAAAAGGAGACCTGAGAGTCACCTGGGAAGATTATGGGTGATGAAACAAACCCTCTTGAGCCTCATATCCCTGACTAAAGTTAAATTTGTCATAAGGGCATTAAATACTTGGAGGGAGCTCCATGAGGAGATGATATTCATTAGGTGAAACAAAGACATGAGACACTTGTACTGTCTCTTAGGACAGTAAGAGAACTTAAAAAACATTAGAAATAACTTTAACTTAGATAATGGACAGACATCTGGAGGATACCCACAATATCCTTGTAACCTGGAACCAAGGGTAGGGATATGACCCAGATCCCCACTCTTTCTTGGTGATAGGCCCCAATACCTCAAGGTTGGTGTCATAAGTGGGAAGCAGACTCTCAAGACTGCCTGCCACTCTTGCCCATGTTCTCCCCAGGAGAGCAAAGGGAAGCATCTCTGGCCTCCCTGGTGCCCAGTAGCTGTCCCCCACATTCTTGGTTCTTAATGGAGTCCTGGCGAGCTGTCTGGAGGAAAAAGTACTAGCAGATTGGCCTAGAGGACTAAATACCTAAGATTAGCCTGGGAGGAAGCATCAGTCAGGTGGAGGAGAATGATATTCCTGGCAGAGCAAATAGTCCCTGGGAATGAAGGGAGGCAGAGAAAGCACAGGGCATTCAGGCAACCAATACTGCAAATGTTAGGGGTAGCTGGGTCCTAGGACATGTGCATGGAAAGAGCAAGGACAGATGGCAGGGAGGGGCCAGATCACAGAGCACCTCAGACAATGCTCAGCAATGTGTGCAAGGCCTTGCTACTCAGTGCTGTTAGAGGGAATAAGTTATGATTCAAATAAATGAAAATATTCTGCAAAACTATCTCTCAAAGCCTTATGAAATGATTGAATCATGAATTGCATCTTGGAAAAGATGGTCCTCACTATAAAGAAGGGAGAAGGAGCCCATGACTATATACGTTGCAGTGAGCATGACACATCCATGCAGAGAGGCAACAGAAGAATATTTTTCTACAGGCAGATATGCAGGAAGGAAGACCACACACATTTTGTGTTGTCTGTGGTATGGTTGAAAGTGGATTACATTGCAAAGGGAAGAAAACTAATCAGAGTTCTTCTGCATGTATAAATTTCTTCTCCTGGAGCTCAGACTAAATTTCTCCAGGAGGAAATCATTCTCTCAGAAAGCAAATGATGCAATGGTGATATGAACTCCTGAAGCACAAGAGACCCTCCTCATGCCACTCTGGCAAACCTTTACACTGTGACACAAGGTGGCTATGCCAATTCCCACCTACCTGCTCAGTAACTCTCCTGGAAAATATGGCAAGCAGGAAGACAGCAGCAATGGGTGCTGCCAGGTAATTAGTAGTTCCCATCACAAACTCAAACATTTCTTCACTGTACATACTTTGCATAAGAGTGGCCCAGGCGATGGTGATAGCAAATAAAACTATGACAAAAAACCTGTAAATTACACCAATAGTCAATAGCAGTTTGATGAGATCTCCATCCCCCGCCCCCAACACCAGTGAATCCGTGAACTAGTAACTCAATTATTCTTTTACATTAAGTCAAGTGCCTCTTCATATTTGTGGAATAGAGAAGATAATCACACCCCTAAACTCTGAAAGGACCATAAGGATGCGGACAACAAACTTGTGAACAAGTAAAAGGGAGTGTCTGTTGATATGTTACTGGATCATAGAAAGATTGTTACATTTGGAGGGTGGGTTTATAGTAGTCATGCTTAAAAATATTAATTTATTTTTTTATGGTGAAAAAATTTATATTTAGAATTAGCCAACTGGACTTAGTTCCAATGATCCTAATGTTGCTGGCAACATCCGAAGAGTCACAGGAGCCAGTCAGGTGTATGCTTCTTTTCCCCCTCAGGTCTGATCAGGGTGTTGACGTGGGCCACCTTGGTGTCCTGGAGCTTCTTCACAGCCTACCTGCTCTGGTGCTTGTTGGCCTTGACATCCACTGTGAACACAAGTGTGTTGCTGTCTTCTATGTGTCTTCTTCATGGCTGACACAGAGGGTCGTGGAAACTTGATGATGGCAGAGGGGTCAAGCTTGTTCTCCTGGGGGTGCTCTTCTGAGGATATTTGGGGGCTTAGGGAGCTGCAGTGTCTTGGGCCTCTGGAAAGTAGGTGAGGTGCAGATCTTGTTTTTCTTGTGGCTGTGGACGCCCTTCTGTGCTGTTTGCTTGGCCTTCAAAGCTCTGGATTTGACTTTGGGAAGGAAGTGTAGGGACTTCCTTCTTTACTTCCTTCTTTACTTTTTGGTGCCATCTTTGTGAAAAGGAATCTTAATTTCTTGAGGGGTAGCACATTAAAAAATTTTCAGACGGGGTACTATGGATTTAAAGATTTTTTTATTTCCTATTAAAATTTAAAGTCTTTGACGAGTTAAGAATCTTACTAGTTTTTGCTGAAATCTTAAGGAACTAACCAGAGGATTTTTTGAAAGATTTATTTTTATTTATTTATGCATACAAGACATGAGGTGTAGGCCAGAGGTACAAGGAATGAGAGGATTCATCAGAGACAAAGTGGGGAACAGAATAGGCAGATCTACTGAAATATACTGCTGAGGGGAGCAGCGGGCAAGACAGGAGAGGTCTGCTGTGCCATGTGGGTAGCTCCCTAGCCAGAGATCAAACTCATACTGCAGACAGCTTGAGAGTGCTGAGACTTTAACCCCTGCACCACCAGGAAGGCCTGAGGCTTTTTTTTTTTAAGTAAAAGATTTGTTAAAAAGTATTCATATGTAAAATTACCCTAAATCAGATATCACTTCAAAGATTAATAAATCTTAGGTTTGTGCCAATAACCACTTAAAAATGTGTAGCCAAGACAGACTAGAAATGACTAATTTCTTAATAGACAAAGAAGAGGCAAGGATCTAAGTTCCAGCTCTAGTAATGATAGAGAAGTTGGCATGAGACTGAACTGACAATGATAAATGATAAATTCTGGACCAAATATAAAATCAATACTGAAGCCCAGCACAAAGCAGGCAAGAATGGGAGGGAATTCAATCTGCAAAAACAAAACCATATTGAGTGCTATCCACATTTATCTACTTTCTTCTCTGGCACGCTCTACTCTGCATGAAGTGGCTAGTAGTTAAACAGAAATCCTCTTACTGGGTTGAGGTGGCACAACACAGAAGTTGGAGATTCAGAATGGCTGACAGAACTACAGTGAAGGAGAAATAAGAGAACTACAAAATCATATCAGAAACCCTTAACACTCCACAGTATAGAATACACTGAGTGTGTACATGTGTATATACATAATATATAGACAACACATAATAGACACAATTAAGAATATAAAAGTATCAATAAATTTCAAAAGATTAAAAATCTCAAAGTATACTCTGGGATCGAAGAAATACATTAGAAATCGCTAAGAAAAAGACAGTGGGAAAGCACCAAACACTTGGATATCCAACAGTACACTTCTAAATAATCTATAACCAAAGACAAGCATGACAAGAAAATTAGAAAATATTTTGAACTGAATGAAAATGAGGACACAATATATCAAACTTTGTGTGATGCAGCTAAAAAACAGAACTTAGAGGAAATTTACAGCTTTAAAAGGTAATGGCAAAAAAAGTTTTAAAACCAATGGTTTGAATTACCACTTTAGGAAACTAGAAAAAAAGAGCAGAGTATTTCTAAATTCAAAGAAAAGAGAAAAAAGGAAATAATGAACAAAAATCAAAGGTAGAAAACAGAGGAATCGACAACTTCAAAAGATGTTTCTTTGGAAAGATTATTAAAATTGATAACTCTATAGGCATGTTTGACTGAGAGAAAAAAACAAAAAAAGAAACACAAATTACCAATAACAAAAAGAAAAATCATTATTAGAGATCCCACAAATGCTGAAGGGACAATACAGTAAAATTATGGGGAGGAAGATGCCTGGGACCACAAGGTACTAGTGGAAGTGGAGAGAAGTCAGGAGAATGTAAATATACTCTAAAAATGGTACTATTAAAATTTGCCATCTTCATTATTTGTTTTCTTTTTTTTAAAAAAAATTTATTTAGGGCCTCCCCGGTGGCGCAGCGGTTGAGCGCTGGCTTGCGAAGCTGCCCGCAGCCTCTGCAGCGCCAGTTCGATCCCCGGCTGCTGGACAAGGGTCCCACTTGGTGTGCAGGCCTCTCCTGCAACCCGCTGCTCCCCTCAGCAGTGCACTTCGTCCGTCTGCCTGTTCTGCTCCCTGCTCTGGCTCTGGTGAATTTTCTCACCCTCCCGCGCTTCTGACTGTACCCAATGCTTGTATAAATAAATAAATAAGTCTTTTAAAAAAAAGATTTATTTATTTATGCATACAAGAACTGGGGTACAGGCCAGAGGTGCTGGGGGTGAGAGGATTCACCAGAGACATAGTGGGAGCAGAACAGGCAGACTGACAAATACACTGCTGAGAGGAGTAGCAGGAGAGTCAGGAGAGGTCTGCTGTGACATGTGGGTCACCTCCCTGGCCAGGGATCGAACTCGGTGCTGCAGAGGCTGTGGATAGCTTCACAGTGCTGTGCTTAACCCCTTGTGCCACCAGGAGGCCTCTCATTATTGAGATAATCCATAACTCACTTGGAACACTGCCACAGAGTAAACATTTATTACATGGTAGACTATTATTATTAACAAGTAAACTGGTGTCAATCCAGATTTTCTTTATAAGTTTGAGAGGAATTGAGATTTCCTAAATGCTTCAGGAGGGTTTACGTGTGATGTCTAGAAAGGCTTCAACTACATGCACAGAGTGCCTAGTGAAGCACTAGGTTGAAGAACTAAGGTGACTGGAATCCTACTTTTCTAAATCCTTTCATTTAGGAAATTATTCATATAAAGATTGCTTAGTTGAAGAATCCATTAGAGACATCCTACGGTGCCAAATCTAGCCTACCTTCTGTTTTGTAAATAAAGTTTTATTGGAACACATACACGCAAATGTAAATTTTTTTTTTTTTTTTTTTAGACAGTAGGATCATAATCACTGTCTCAGGCTCTGCTTTCTAGAGGGCCTAAGCTAAGTAACATAGATTTGCACTATCAGCATCTGTAAAACAGGGGCTCTCAGCAGAAATGTGCTTCAGAAACACGTTATAAAAATTATAAATGCTCTTGTCTCACTTGAGACTGACTAAATAAAAATAGCTAAGACTAGGATTTGGGCATGCATGTGTTTTGTTTTATTTTTGTTTTTGTTTTAATCAGTATTTATTTCTCTCAAGGTCATAGAAACTTAATAGTGTTAAATACAGATCCACATTGTTAACCTCTGTCTTTTTATTGGTGAATTCAGGCCATTTACATTTAGGGTGATTATTGATATGAACTGCTTATTATAGGTCATTTTGCTTTTGACTTCTGATTGTTTTACTTTTCTGGATTTCCCACCCCCCCACGCCCCATTTGTTTCTCTCTGCTCTTCCAGATGGCTTTCCTTAGTATTTCTGTAAGTTTCTTTGCTTCTTCATTTGTGGATGTCTATTCTGGATTTTTTGGTTAGTGGATGGCATGGGGATTTTACTTAAATTTCTGTTTTAAGTCCTTTATGAGTTGGTGTCTGACATTTAACTACTATACAGTTTCTGCCCATTTCTTCCTCCCATTTAGTGTTTTGTTGTTGGTTTATTCTTGTTCATATTTCTAGTCTTGTATTGCTATTGTAATTTGCTGAGGAGTTTGTGTTTCATTTTTTCTATTTGGTAGCAAAACTCCTTTCAGTATTACTTCAAGTGTAGGTCTAATGGTGGCAAACTCCACTAACTTCTGTTTGAGTAAACCTTTATAACACCTTCATACTTAAATTATAATTTTGCAGGGTAGAGATTTCTTGTCTTTTAGGTTGTGACTATTTCCTTCCATTCTCTTCTTGCCTGGAGAGTGTCTGGGCTGAAATCTATGGAAATTCTAATTTGGGAGCCCTTGTAAATTATTATTTTTCCTTGTTTCTTAAAAAAAATTCTATATCTTTGATTTTTGATAATTTTATATGCTGTGTCTGGGTTTAGGTCATTTTGTTTAAGAAAATTAGGTGTTCTCTCTGCTTCCTGGGCATCCATATATAATTCATTCTGTAGGTTTAGGAAGTTCTCTATTTTTTTTGAATAAGTGTTCTGCTCCTATTTCCTTTTCTCCCCCTTCCAGAATCCTGATCCTTCTCGGGTTTTTTCTTCTAATTGAGTTTGATATTTCTTGTAGTGTTTCCTCATTTTTTCTTGTCTTGACTTTCTTGTCTTTTACACATGTAATTTGTTCATTTGAGACTTCTACAACTGAAATTATTTCTTCTGCCAGTTTAATTCTATTTAAAGTTCTTTCTAAATTTGTCTGCATTTCATTCAGTCTTTTTTTAATGATTTTTAAAAATATATTCAATCTCTTTGGTGAGGAATTCTCTTTGTTCCTGGATCTCCTTTCTGAGATCTTATGC